GCACCCAATAACCTAGCTTGAATTGAAGTAGCAGAGGAATTTGAATACATTTGATGATATAATAGGATTTTTTTTCTTCATTGAAGCAAGCTTAGACAGAAGCTGGAATAGTGTGAAAATGGATCAGAAATACAAGTGTATTTTGATATTGTTCTGCCAAATCCCGTTCTGTATTACTGTCCCCTCCTGACCCAGGTCGACTTACTAACATTTACTTCCTTATCTTCTGCCGTGGATTAATAATGGCTGCAAGTTCTTTGTCACTGTCCCCAGTCAAGACCTATTTCCCCAGTTCTTGAATGTCAGCTGGTGCTGTGACGGCTTAACCAGTAGGATGCAATGGAAATGACCCATGCAGCCTCCACATTCAAGGCTCAGGAGGGCTGGCAGCTTGGGCTTCTTCCCTCTTGGGATGCTTCTGCTCAGAACCCAGCCATGCTGTGAGAAGCCCAAGCTTCACAGAGAGGCCACATGTTGGTGCACCCTTCCACAGTCCCTGCTGAGCTCCCAGCTGACACCTGGCATCGACTCCCCATCACGTGAGTGCCATCCTCAGTGTTTCAGCTCAGTTGTATCCTAGCTGATTGCAGCCCCGGCTGACATCAAATGCAGCAGAAGAACCACTCAGCCAAACCCAGTCAACCCGCAGACTAGGGAGACAGAATACAGCAGTGATTGCTTTAAGCTATTTCAGGGCAATTTGTTTCACAGAAGCATATAATTGAAAAGCTTTCCAGAGAAAATTCTGGAACTGAGACTGTGGAAGATCTCCTTCAACTGAAATTATAAATAGGTAGCATTTAATTAGCCTATGCTTTTTGTTTGTTTGTTTTGTTTATTTTGAGACAGAAATTGAAAGAGTGCAGGAGGGAAGGAGAGAGAGAATCCCAAGCAGGCTCGCAGTGACAGCACAGAGCCTGATGCAGGGCTCAAACTCACAAACCACAAGATCATGCATGACCTGAGCTGAAACCGAGAGTTGGCTGTTTCACCGAGTAAGCCACCCAGGCACCCCTAAATAGCCTATGCTTAATCCTTACAAGTTCTGGATATCACTAGGCAAAATTTTGGAAAGCTCTTATTTTGGAAACTAGGCACCTGCAAGTTTGTTTACAAACCACATTAAGGTACTGAGCCTTTTTCATTATTACACTTTCTGGTCCGTTTATTTTCCCATTGAAGTGATGGGTAAGCAATACATATTGAGATGCATTATTGTGATTAAAAAGAAAAGTGGTATTTTTCAGCAGAAACAGCATGAGTCAGACTTTTGTTCAAATCTTGGCCCTATCACTTAATAGCTTTACGTCCGTGGCTAAGTTACCTAAGCTGCCTGAGTAGTTCTCTATTTCGAAGATGATACGTACTGTACGGGATTAGTGAAGACAAGAAATAATATATGTTAAGAACCTAGCTCAGTGCCTGGCACAAAGGCAGAGCTCCTTAAATGTAGCTGTTGTTGTGATGAAGGAGGTGGTAATGTGGTTTTTGAAAGGTAGCAAAAATCTGCTCTTTTTCATTTTTTTAAGGGGATGCAGAGATGTGGGTGTTCCTGGGCTTTATTGGGGTGGAGTCTAGAGGGTTAACGCGACATATCCTTGCAATTCTTCCTACAGACAGGCATGTTTCATCCAAAGGAAATTCCGATCCCTTACCCATCCACAGCACCCTTTCTCACTTCTTTATTTCCATAGGGGACTTGGTTAAGGGATAAGGGCAACTTTTGGTTCCTACTCTCAAGGGGAGAACTCATGAAGAATTCTCTCTCTCTCTCTCTCTTTTTTTTTTTTCTTTATGTCCTCAACCCCCTTTCCTCAATTACATTCACCTTCTGATTTGGTGGGAAAGAACTCTACAGGATGCTGGCTTTCTGCAAGCTGATCTTAGCTTTGAGGTGCCACAGGGCTCATGGAATACATCTCCAGGGAGGACACGTACACATCCCACAGATTTGAATAGCCCCGGGGAAAAGGCAGCTGTGGCAGCCCACAGGATTTTGTTTCTGCTGTTTTGTTCTAGCCTTTGTGTGATACGTTGTTTTCCTTTCTAAGGGTCTTTAAGATGACAATTAGAGCAGCGCCCAGTAATTTCTTTGTTGGCAGAATATGTTTGTTCTCGGTGATTAAGGTGAAGTGGGTAGTTGTTATTGGGGTAAGCTGAGGACCACTTTTCTTCACTCTGGGTTACCATTCTTGGCATCTTCTCTTACCTGCCTGGCTTGGGCTGCTGGAAACCCATTTTGAGTTTTGAAACTGAGATGATAATTGTGAATGAAGTGCCAATGTATTATATTGGAGTGTGGTATTGGTTTGGGGCAAAAGTGAGGAGTTAGGTACCGTGTATTTAAACGGGGTAATCTCTAAAGTAATTACAAATTACCCTAATTTAGTGTAAACACTTACTTGCTTATATCGGTTCTGAACATTCACGTGAATGTTGACAATCAAAATGTGAATACCTCTCAGTGTGAATACTGTAAAGGCTTCCCCATAGATTTTCCATGATATGAAATATCATGTCCGTTGCTAAAATCTTTCAGAAAACTCTCACTGCTTTAAAATCAAATGGCTAAAGCCAGAAAGTTAGGCACAGGATCTTATTTTAACTATTCTTGTTTTAAAATATTGGTTACTGGTATATAAGTGCAGGTTATGTGGAGGATAAGTCATTTTGCCCATCAGCTTGTCACAGTCATAATCACAGTTAGGCCAATTGGTTCAGGCTTTTGTCGTTGTTGTTAGTTATAGTACTGCAAGCACGTTTTGAGAGTTAATATCCTTTAAATCACTTATAATTATGGACCGATTTTATTTTGATGTGATAATATTCTTCTCGCTTGCCCACTTAAAGCTTAAAACTATTTCAAAGCGGTGGAGATTGTGTTATACAAAATTTAATGTGCTTAAAGCAGAATTTCTCAGGACTTGAGCTCTAAATTTATTGCTGCTGGGATTCATATGATGGCTATGTAGTATAGATTTAGAGAGAGCTTTTAAGACTCCCATTGACATAGGTGAGCAGAATGGTTCCTTGGAAACCATTTGGGTGTCCAGTCATGGTAAAGCATGGACTAAGGGCTCAGATGCATACAGTGCAAGAACAGGAGGGAGGTTCAGGGAACCCCGTGCTGTCTGTTAAAGACGGCATTTCTTCCAGTCTTTTAACGGCTGCTGTTTTAAAGGGGGGCAAAAGCAGCATTGAAACTATCTGTAAGGTAAAGCTATTGAGACCCAACCCAAAGGCATGCTCTTATGGAAAACTCTTCTTAATACTTGCAGTGTGGTTCTAGCGGAGGACATGTGGTATATATTACGGCTCCTGGGGAATTCAGACCTCTGCAGTGTGGAGTCACCGTGAAGGCTAATTTCAAAACAAAGTGGTAGCCTTTTGCTCCCTTCATAGCGCTATTTACCAGTGTTTCTTATTAGCTTGACATTAGTCTAGGACTGCTGTGGGTGGAAAGAGGAAACGGAAATTCAAATGGGACCGGAGTGGGGATCCATGAACACCTCTCCCCTTCCCTCCCACCCCTCCTTCAGCATAGGCTCAGCACTTCACCCTGGGCATTGCAGTCTTACACAGTCTTCGCCAAAAGGGCTGAAGGCAGAGCTGTCCAAGGTTCGAAAAAAACACGTTCTGACTGTTGGTTGAAAATCAGGTAATAACAGTCCTCTTGGTGAACAAAACTTATTAGAGGGCAGGGGAAGGAATGCTATCTCTCAGCGGCAGGCAAGAAGAAATTGCTGTTGAAAAGCTTACCTCTCTAGGGAGGAATCAGATATCAGACTTTGCCAAGCCTCAGGTCCAACCCATAAGGTCCCACCTACATCCCCCGCCCCATCCCAGCTTTGTTAGATTGCTAGCATCGATCGCTGGCTTTTTCTGACCCCACAGTGGGTGAAGGAAAGAGAGCCGGCAAGACCAGAAGCAAGCAAGGTGGGGGTGGAAAACTGGGGCTGCTTTTGTGGAGAGAAAAAGAAAGGGAAGAAAAGGGGTGGGGGCCATGGGGACTGAGCTTAACTGGTGCCTGCCTGCTTCTCTTTGATTTGATGGCCTTTATTCCTTCTAATTGGATAAAATAGGAAGTCACTGGCAGTCCTGCGTCGCTGGGTATACTGATTTTACTCAGACCAGCCAGCAGCTCTGGAGTGCGGACAGAGGGAGGAGGGAGGAAAAAGAGAGAGACAGAGAGACAGAACGTCTTTGGATGAGGAGGGGAAAGGAAGAGAAAGAGACTATGAAGCCGGGCAGAGCTGCGGGGGGAAGAAAGTGAATGAGCGCTCAAGAAGGACAAAGAGGAGTGGTTGGGGGGGTGGGGGCGGAGGCAGGGCGGGGAGGGGAGTCGCCGCCCCTCCGGGCCGCACTCTTCCCTTCGGATCCCTGTGTGATGATACTGTTTGCAGTGATGCTCCCGGGGCAGGCACCTGCTGCTGTGTAATGATTCAGCCTCTTTCAGCCTTCGCGTTAACACAACAGGATGCTGTTGCTACTCTCACTGCTGCCTCTCCTGCCGCCGCCGCTGCTGCCGCCTCCGCCGCCACCTCTGGTCCTGCTTTTGCTTTTACTTCTCCTGCATGACAGTTGTTTTCTCCATCTAAGCAGACACCAGCTTCAGATGCTCGAGGTGAGAAACATGCCTTTCAGTTTGGGCTACTGGTTTACTTAACTGACCAACGATCAGCTCGGTTTCTATTTTGCCTCACCCCCCCGCCCCGGCCCCCCCGACCCTCTTGACCAGCCGGGATGGTTTGGAGAAGCATTTGAAAGAACTGCAAAAGTAACCTGGAAACAGCAGTAAAGAATTACAGTATACTTTCATTTGGTAGTTGCTAGAGGCTTTTTTTTCCTTCCTCTCTCCTGAACTCCTCTTGCTTTTGATAATGGCCTTGGACTTGGAAGACTTATCGATTTCCCCCTGTAAGATGCTGTCTCATTTGGTTGGGGGGAGCTCTGCATGGTAATGGACCGTGAGAGAGGCCAGGCCTTCTGGAGGTGAGCCGATGGAGATTTATTCCCCAGACATGTCCGAGGGAGCAGCCGAGAGGTCCTCCAGCCCCTCCACTCAGCTGAGTGCAGACCCATCTCTTGACGGGCTTCCGGCAGCAGAAGACATGCCAGAGACCCAGACTGAAGATGGGCGAACCTCCGGACTCATGGGCCTGGCAGCTCCCTGCTGTGTCTGCCTGGAAGCTGAGCGCCTGAGAGGTTGCCTCAACTCGGAGAAAATCTGCATTGTCCCCATTCTGGCTTGCCTAGTCAGCCTCTGCCTCTGCATTGCTGGCCTCAAGTGGGTATTTGTGGACAAGATATTTGAGTATGACTCTCCTACTCACCTTGACCCTGGGGGGTTAGGCCAGGACCCTATTATTTCTCTGGATCCAACCGCTGCCTCAGCTGTGTGGGTAGCATCTGAGGCATACACTTCACCTGTCTCTAGGGCTCAATCTGAAACTGAGGTTCAAGTTACAGTGCAAGTTGACAATGCCGTTGTGTCCTCTGAACCTTCAGCGGTCCCGACCCCGAAGAATCGTATTTTTGCTTTTTCTTTCCTGCCGTCCACTGCAGCATCCTTCCCTTTCCCCACTCGGAACCCTGAGGTGAGAACACCCAAGTCAGCAACTCAGCCACAAACAACAGAAACTAATCTCCAAACTGCTCCTAAACTTTGTAAGTAGAGAGAGAACGATGATGATGAATCATGGAAAGGGGTGGGCTTGAGGCGCTAAAAGGCGTTCTCTTGAGCATGGAGCTGTTTCCTTGTCTTCTTCTATTTTAATTGCATGGTTTTGTTTAAGCACATCATGTGACTGGAGCGCTTGGGGTGGCGTTGAAGAGATGAGTAAAACGATCTTGCAAACTGCTGGTATGAAACAGTGTTCCCTCCAGCCAGACTGTTCGGTCTGGGGTGGGGGACCCAAAACTTCAGCATCTGGGAGTCATGCTTGAATTTAATTGCAATTCAGTTGATTTCTAACACTTTTAAAAATGAACACATCAGACAGAGCATCCTTTTTAAAACAAAACAAAACAAAACAAAACTATAAATGTGACTTCCATAGAGCAGCGAGTGTGGTTCTGTGTCTGTCTTTCTCCCGTGTGGATTTCCATCACCTCTCCTCACCTTTCGGGTGCCCTCTGCCACGCAGTGGTCCCACACTGCCTGTTATCTGCCTCCATGCCTTCTTCCTGCTCCCTTAACTGCTCTCTGCTCTCACCACGTTTCTGTCTTAATTGGTTCTTGCTGATAGCGCATTTACAGTGCTCACCCCTCACCAGTGGCAGGCGATTGCCGTCCTGCCCAGATTGTAGTTTCGGCTACCGAGCACTTACGAGGGACAGCTTTATTTTATTCAGGGCGCAGTACGATGCCGCATGAAAGGATTTCCCCAAATTAGTTTTGTCTTCTGTAATCAAATGTTTAAATAGCTTCCTTGGCAGTCATTAAAAAGTACAAGATCCATTAGTAAGGTACATCGTTTTTTTTTTTCAGACGTGTCTTTTTTTGGCCGTCAGACCGGAGCAGTGCAGTTTAATAACCTGTGAGTGAAGAGAGCCCACGCTCTTAAAACGATACAGAACAATGTGCTGCTGTTCGTACTGGGTCACTGCAATGCTTTACAATGGAAAGTTGACAAGGCAGAAACCATGACTAGTCAGGTTGCTCCCCACGTCAGTAGAGAAGGGAGGAGTGGCCTCTGGCTTCTTTTTATAAATGTTTCTGATTTATTTTTTTTTTCTCTGCCTTCTGCCACTTTTTACCACTGACTGAATATGTCCTTCGTGGAATAAAGTAAAAGACAAGAGAATCCAGTCCTTAATAACGTGTGTAAAATCTCTTAAGAGTTGAGGGCGAGGGTTCTGCGATGAAATCCTCACCCCTTCGGTTCCCCTCTGGGTGGTAAGGAAGAATAAAGAATGTCTTTTCCGGACATGATGTTCTGTGTGGGGTAGAGCCGTGTGGTATAGAAACACAGAAAACTTGATCTGCTTGTGATTCAAGATCATTTCATTTCACACACAGCAGAAACTGCTGGCAAAGATTTAAAAAAAGAAGAAGAAAAAGAGAGAGAGAGGCTTGTTTTTCAGGTGTAATTAGTAAAGAACCTCCTTTCTGCAGACACTGCTCTGTGTCTTTATCAAATCCCTGAAGCATCATTAAAGGTCTGACAGACATCACTGCATTCACCGCCTCTTCCCACCTGGCAAAGTGACCAGAAAATAATACCCAGATGAAATGACAGGCTATAAAAAGCAAGTACAGATCCTGCAAAGAGAAGCAACATTCCCCATGAAGACAAGGTTACTTCTTTGTCTTTATCATTTGAAACTTGGCTTTAATTAAAATGTGCCCGGACAGGTTTAGCTTTCCAGAAAAAGAAAGAGGACCCTATGAAGAAAAAACAAACAAACAAAAAACTCCTTTGGTAAATTCCATAATTTTGTCATCTTTTTGGGGGGCGGGGGGCAGGAAGCAGAGAACCATGTAGTCCCTTTTTCTGGTTTAGGACCGTGTCACAAAGTATGTAGTGACTTTTTGAGAAATTATTTTTTCAGGTAAATTCTTCTACTAAGTGTTTTAAGAGGGTACAGATTCCATATAGTTTCTCTTCTCTCGGTTTTCAAGCCAGGGCATTGATTTTCTGGCATTTGCATTGAGTGGCAAAGATTTACTGCTGCCTAAAAGCATCACGGTGGCCAGTTCTGGCCAGAGACACAGCTGCAGCACTCTGAAATGCATCGGAGATAAGCCTGGAAAAGCAGTATGGGAAGTAGTTTTCTCCTGAAAAGTTAGGGGTAGACAGACGGTGCTTAACACTTTGCCACCTATAAGGCTTTCTGTATGGGAAACTCGGTGTTAATGTTTTAGCCTAGTGCCTGAAAACAACAGCAAAAGCATGAGTATCCTAAAAATTTATGAGTCTGGTTTTTGCGCAGGGGGACTGGGGGGGGGGGGGGGTTGGTCCAGGAAGCTTTGTTTTCAGACACTCGTAAGTGGTTGCTTTTGTTGTTTTAAAAAGCTTGTAACCATTGACTAAAAAAACCCAAAAAACCACACACACACAAAAGAGCTTGGAATTAGACTGTCATTTGTGACCTCATTCACTTTTTTTCTCTTCAACTAAGAAAGTACTGCTTCGTCACAGGAAGAACCAGACCTATCCTTCTGTCATGCATGTTTTTGACATGAACTCAGCTGTGATGGTATAATCTTAACATGACGTTATCGTATCTGAAACATGCTCTTTGGTGGTTTCAGGACGTAACTCTCCCCGTTCTATCTGCCTCAGCATATTCAGCATATTATGCACAGAGCTGTAGCCTTCAAGGTCATAGTCTGTTGAGGGCTAATTGATTCTTCTTTATCCTGGAGCCTGAGAGAGTGGAAGAGAGACAATCCTAGTAATTGTGTCTGCTCTGTAATTCCCCAACCAATCTACCCTCTAGTATTAGGGTTATTCTATACAAAGGGGAATTACTCCCCTTTCCACGGACTTTTTTTAAAATTAAAACATTCTGTATTGTAATAAAAGGCAATACAGAGCATTCTTAATTGTCCAAAGGAATAGTAGCTGCATCAGGTTTTCTCAAATGGGTATTTCTTGCATAAGGTAATATAATGTCATGTTTTCACAATACTAATCCATGCATCCATCTAGATCTTTAAGAAACCTAATACAGGATTGGAAAATACATATGCATTGTTTTTTTTAATCCTGAAGTTTTTCTGTGTGTGATTGGTGGTTTTCCACTACCACAATCTTTATTTGCCATGATAATAGTTACGTTTTTATTTCTCACTGGGGCCCCTACTTGAACTATTAATTTTGTTTCTTTGCCTGGGCTTTAAAATTTTTCTTACCTTCTATTTATATGGAAAGAACTGACTCTGAGAGGTTGCAAACTCAGACTACTATAAAAAGAGGTGATTAATTAAATTGTAGCCGGGGAACTATAGTGCCATCTTGGAAGCAGATGTATTTCTGGATGGGAGAGCCTGCTTGACAACAGACTCTGTAGTATAAGAACGTATTAGTATTTTCAACTCAGGCCAAATTTGTTTTGCTTTGTCTTAAATCTCTTTGTGTTGGGTTGCATGGCAAACCATTGTTACCACAATGAGGATAGGAATCACTACCATTTGCAAAAGCTCAGCGTGATTAACTGAATATACCAAAAGATTTCTTTCCTTCAATTTAAAAATGGCATTTATTTTAAGCCCAATAGATTCATCCAGTTCCTTGCAACCTACAATTCCTTGTCGGTGATTTCAGAGTGGTGATTTCAAAGAACTTTTCTCCACTTTAACCAAAACTTGCTTAACGCCTAAGACATTAAAAACTGGGAGAAATGGAAAGATCCTCGACTGAAACCAAATAATTTTATTAATTTGCTGATGAGGGGGAAACCCAGGTTCTGAAAGATTTAGTGACATTCTTTTACTAAAAGTCACAAAATGCTGAAAGGTTCAGTGAAATCCTAAATAGGAGAAAGCAGAGACATGTCTTGTCCCCCTGAATTTAAATCCACACATGGCTCTTTTCTCCTGTCAGCTTTTCCCTGTTCCAGAGAGTGTGAACTGGACAGCAACTCTGATAGTTTAAGTGGCACCCAATTAACAGGGACGTATGTCAAGTGGGACCACTGGTCAAGCATGTATAGTTCATAGTATTCAGTTTTCTTCCCACCTTCTTGTTTTGCTTTTATTAAATTCTCAGTAGTGGTAGTCTTTTTCCTGTTTATTTGCTCATCCATACAGTGTTCAGCTTGCTGTCGAAAACAGCTTGGGTTTTCTAGGGTGGGCTCTTTGCTGACATATAGCAGATGGCCCTGTGGCTCACCTCTTCCCTGCCCATTCTGTGTCTCCTTGTTCCTTTATACCTAAATCGGTTTTCTTCCTTCCTCTCCCTCCCCACCTACCCAGTTATCTCTTGAATCTTCCTTATTTTTCTAATTATGCCACTTTGGCTTTATTTATCAATATTTCATTGCATTCTAAAATATTAAACATTCACTGATCTTTTCTTTCACATACAATTGTATTGCATTTTAACTGAGTGGTACTTACACATGTTACAAACACACATACAAAAATACGTCTCTAGGACAATACCCTGGTTTCTGACTGGCACAATTCATTCAAAATTTTGTCCCTCTTCTTTATTGCCCCCTCTTCTTTTCCTTAGTATGATTCATACTGGTTTCTCTCTGACTTTTACATGTGTGTACAAATCAGCAGTTCTGCATTCCCAGAAAGTCGTTGTGTCCCAAACCATGTATCTTTGTTCTTCCTTCTTCCCTTTTCCTTTTACTGTCACCTCATAGGATCCTTTTAAAGTGTAAAGAGAGAGAGATTGTGTAGATTGAGAAACTGAGGCATAAAAAAGTTATGACTTGTCTAAAGTTAAGCTAGAAGCTTCTTCACTGAAGCACGAGAATAAAACTGAGAACTAGCATATAACTGCTCGACTGCATCTGTTTGAGCTTTCTTTTAAGCCGTAAACCATACCATGTCTACTTTTTTGGTCGTGTTTCCCTTTTTATTATTATTTTTTTTTAATTTTTTTTTCAACGTTTATTTATTTGTGGGACAGAGAGAAACAGAGCACGAACGGGGGAGGGGCAGTGAGAGAGGGAGACACAGAATCGGAAACAGGCTCCAGGCTCTG